GGTGGGGGACAAGCGACCTGGACAAACGCGAAAGTTTGTCGGCCAGAGGTCGCCGAAGGATTGCTAGGGTTCGTTCTTGGAAACTAAAATTTGGGCACAAAAAGGGCTGGGGACACAAACAACAGGGAAAGAGAGAAGGGCTTAGGGGGATAAGAGAGAAGAAAGATAGGTCGCAGACCGAAAATCTCCGGTGATGACTGTCATGGGGTAGACACAAAAACAAAAAAATGGGGAAAGGAGAGAGAAGGGATGGGGAAGAGAGAAGGGATGGTGAAGAGAGAAGGGAGAGAGAGGGAGAGAGGATAGCTTATCTGTGGTTAAAATTTTTGCAGAGAAATCCCCACAGACGGCACCAAATTGTTTGATCAAAAAGTATTAAACTTTTAGTTAAACCAATTAATGAAGAAAATATAGGATAAATCTTAGCCAAGGATAATTAACTCTGGATCTAAGCACGTCAGATAAGAGAATAATAAATAATCAAGTTTATAAATTTGATGGTATCATATAAGATATCATATACAGATGATAAGCTTATATTTTTTATATACTATCCCGTAATGCGGTGATAAAGACGGAAAAGACGGAATGTTATTAGCATTAATGAGATCCATCTCCCTTGATTCAATAATCACGATTATTGAGATTTATGTTTGCTATCTAAGCCTTTTCTTGATTTTCTCTATCTTCCCCTTTTCTAGGAAAGAATCCACCTTCTTCCTCTCTTCTTACCTCCTATATATATTATCAGTATTCCTTTTTTCCAACGGTCCTTAACCAGAATGCCTTCATCCCTTGATTGTACTTCACATCGCCTCCCTCAAGTATCACGATATTTACTTTGCCATGCAAGCTTTGAGATGGTTCGATCTCGGCAGTGGCCAAGGTGCTCGTTGTTATTACACGCTGTGGGTACGACTACGGCTTAGTCGACTTCTTGCCATTCCTTTTGACACTAATACATGTGTGGTTAGATTTTGACTCTTACACCTACTTACACTTGGTATTTCTAACAAACTACATTAACTTATAAAATAAAGTGAGAATGCACATTAATTAACCAGAGTGGGGATAATGCGGCTACACCTCCCACTTTGTTAGGTCCTATCTTGTAGTTACAGATGAAATAGATTTATCTTTATCTTTGATATCTAGTTGATGTAACCCCCGGTCCAGCCGCCCCTGACCTAGGAAGAACTATTATCCTTATGAACAAACATTTACTGGTTTAATTTGCCTTCTATTGGTTCTTGATGTCGTGAGATAATTTCATATATTTTGATATTATTTATTCTACTTGCTTGTTGTTTGTATGCTAATTTGTGCGACAATTGTGCTTAATAGAGATTATTTCATGTGTAGGAATGTTTGGACATAAATTGGAGAAAAGTTACACGAAATGGTACCTTAGAGCTACAAAATGGAGCAATAAAAGAAACGTGCAAGGCAACAAAATGTCAGTGCCATAGACAGTGCAAGGCATTGTCCAGGCCACCGTCATTGGCGCCCCAAACAGTGCCTTGCACAGTAACAACAGTGCCACAGACAGTGCAAGGCATTGTCCATGGCACTATTGGCACTCAGATAGTGCCTTGCACCGAAATGACAGTGCCACAAACAGTGCAAGGCGTCGGCGATGCCATCCGAGCAAATTTAATTCTTCATTAATCTTGGACATGTAGAATTCGGCCCTTACCCTATAAATACCCCTTAAAATTAGTTTTTGAACGGTTAGGCATCATGAGACATCATTATAGAGGTAAGAGGCTATGGAACACTTGGGAATCACGAATCACTCGAGTTTTTCTCGTTGCTTTCCTTTAATTTATAGTTTAATGCTTCTAGATATTACTATGATTATTTATACAGTTATGAGCAGCTAAACCCGTCATCTAGGATTGATGGAACCAATTGTTGGATAAAATTCTCCTTATGTTTTTATATAATTGAACCGTTAAATTTCTCTACTTGTTCAACTACGTGTTTACTGATGTTGATTGAATGGCCTTCAATTGGTTGTGTCTATTTAGTGTGTATTGCTTGAGAGAGGGTACACATTTAGATAGTTTTTGAATATCATCACTCCCAACGTATGTGAGAGATCAATATGGAGGGTTTAAAGGCGGTATTAGAGATAACGAAACCTTGGTGCGATCGTAGTGAGCTGTGAATTAGTGCCAGAGTGCCAGATAGTGTAGTTTGAGAGAATATGTCTAGTAAATTGTGGCAGTTGCTCGAGAGAGAATTACGACACTCGAAGTACTCACGATCGATAGAGAAGACTTAGGCAAAATTATTGAAAATGTAGCGAGAAGGATTCTGACAATTGGGGAAATCATAACTCTAGACCTCCTTAATCTTTTCTCCAATCCTTTGTATCCCTATTTATTAATTCACTATTTTAATTTGTTAATTAATTAGAATCTTAATATTTATAACTTAGGAAGTATTCGAGCTTGTCTTCTTAGTGGTATTGAACAGTTACAGTGAAATCTTAGTTCTATGTGGGATTCGACTCCGGAATTTTAGACCGGATTATATTTGCAACGATCGCTTATCCTTTTTAGGACTAGAGTTGGGCGTGATCAGTTCTCTCATATAAAATTTGCACTTAACTTTTTTTTCTTCCTTTTCTCAAGTATACGGTGTAAAAAACACTAAAGATAGAGAAAAATATATTTATATTATATTAAAATCACAAATCACCTATCAATATATCGTTCGCCTTTTTTTACCTTTTTAGAATAGGTTTTACATTAGATAAAATTATAATTGTAAATTAATTACTATTTTTTTAATATTTTAGAAATTTCAAATCAACTAAAATATTGGTTATTAAAACATTCCTTATTTGAAATTATGCAAAGTCCCTCATATGTAGGAACTTCATTCACCTAAGGAATTTATATTGTTAACTTTTTTTATCCTAATTAGATTATCCAAGGCTAGACGTGCTCATGAAATTTCATTCTTTCGTCCTAATCTTTTTTAATAATAATAAAAATAAAAGCAATAATAATAATTATTTTTATTACATAATATTTTAAAACATCGATCTATATTGAACAAATCACTAATAAAATATTTAAGTAGTTGATAAGAGTCAAGTACATTAATGATATTACAAACATAAAAATTCAAAAAGTGAAATAATAAAATTAATTTTTTTACTCTTTGATAATATAATTTAGATAATAGTATAATTATAATTAATTGTTTAAAATCAGATGAGCTAATATGAAGAATGTGAATCAACAAAAAATAATAATTTCTTTTAATGTTGCGACAAATAATTAAGCATTTGAATTAACTAATTAACAAGAATCAATTTAATTATTTTTCATATTCATCATCAACAACAACAACAACCCAGTATAATCTCACTAGTAGGGTCTGGGGAGGGTAGTGCATACGCAGACCTTACCCCTACCCTGGGGTAGAGAGGCTGTTTCCGATAGACCTTCGGCATCCCTCCCTCCAAGAACTCCCCACCTTGCTCTTGGGGTGACTCGAACTCACAACCTCTTGATTGGAAGTGGAGGGTGCTCACCATGAGCAACCCACTCTTGTCAAAGGGCAGCCCGGTGCACTAAGCTCCCGTTATGCGGGGGGTCCGGGGAAGGGCCGAAATGTAAGTAAAATTATTTTCTATTTAATTAAAAAATCTTATAGGATACATAAATTTGTTTTGATAAGAATAGCATTAGCATATGGCAAAATTGGTTATAATAGTATTAAAAGTCAAATTCGTAAAAATACAAACTTGAAGCAATAAGAAGGAAACAATAGAATTTAAACTATATTCTGAACGAATTATCATTTATTGTTATTGTTGTTGTTGTTGTTGTTATTTTACAAATAACAATCTTCTTATGTTCTATATTAAATTATTTCCAGTAAAAACTGCAAGCCATTTATACTTTACGTTCTCCCTTATCAATTATCTCTGTGAGCACAACACATCTTCATTCCCAAAATAGCAGAGAAATTTATTTTTTTTTAATTTATTTTATTTGACAAATCTTTGTTGATAATTGTATTTACATATTTTTTTGTTTATTTTTGTATTAGGTCATAAAAATAATAATATTCTTCTATAAGATTTTTCTATAAAAGTCCTCAAAAACTACAATACAGCATCTAAGAACTTTTATGAAAGGAATTCTTTCTTCATTGAACCAGATAAATAAAATATTAGTAGTCATCATTTTCAATAACTTTTGCATTTTTTGTTAATTTTTATTTTAAAAGTCAAACATATAGGATATACACACAAAACGCATATCCTAAGACTAGTATAATAAGGTAGCATGATTAAGTAAAAGTGTGCTCTCAATTCATTGTATAACATTTATCCATTCATTGGCGTTATATTTTCTCTTATAATTATTTTCTTTCATAAGTACTAAAGCATTAAAATTGAAATTTTATATCATAAAAGAATGAAGTTTTCCTACTTCATAGCCCACAAAATATTACTATCTGATAATTCTAAAATTTTGTTGTCAATATAAAAATTGAGATAGATTAAAGCTAAGCGAGAGTATGCAGCAAAACATAAGTAATTCCAGTACTGGTCCTTGGGAACAATATAAAACTTTTAAAAAAAAATTAACTTCCATACACTAACTAAGTAAAAGAATTTTAACACTATTCCGTCACTTAATGTAAAATTACAGGAAATTATTCGTAATAAGTGAAACTAATAATCTGAAAATAAAACATACAATCTGCTATAACGGGTTAAAATTACACTGATAATGTAAAGGTTCATTTAAGGTCTCTATGATCTTAAGGTCTTTTAACTAGCCCCAGATAACTAATCTCGGGATAATTAATTATCTCACCTTCCTATAGGGATAAAAAAAACACTACAATCCGGAAATAACTAATCCCGGGATTAGTTGTACTACGATTTTATCCCAATCAAACATAGAATAAACTCATCTCAAATGTAATCTCGAAATTAATTATCCCTTATCTCTCATACCCAACGAGCCCTAAGGGCATTTAGGGCCTCCTCTCTTAGTTTTCCAGTTATTATAGCAAGGGCAAAATTGCTTGTTCCCATAAGTACCAGGAGGAACACAAAGGCATTTTGCACAACATTTTTGGCAGAAGAACATGCATGGCTTCTTGTACTGTGTCTTTGAGCATCTATATGTGCACCTTGGTAGACATTCTGCAAATGTAGCCAGAAATAACTAAAATTATTTAAGTTCATGTCAGTGGCGAAGCCAGGAATTTATTCAAGGGTGTTCAAACATGAATTTACTCGAGAGTGTTCAAACTTGAATGAAGTGAAAACAATTCTCCAAGAAAGAGTATTCAATATATGTTATATACTTCTAAAATCTAATATTTTACCTATATACGCAGTGTAATTTTCCGACGAAGGGTGGTTAGTTGACCACCTGGCCTCTATAACATGTAGTTTCGCCCATGGTTCATATGGTATAACATGACACCTTCTTCTTCTTTTTTTCACTCGGTATCCGGTTCCCGCATTGAAGCCTGATTATATCCGGATTAGCGCTGCATAGGACCCTATTATGGGAGAAGAGCTCCCTACTAAGAATGTTTTTATACTCAAGGCTCGAACCTGAGACCTCTGGTTAAGAAAAGAACAGCCTCATCCGCTACACAACATCCGTTGGTGGTTATAACATGACACTTTGATTGAGAAGGAATCAAAATTCCACTCAACTATTAGGGATAATTCATCTTTGTTCCTTTCACTAAAAGATTATACTATGTAGACAGGTTTAAAAAGATTATGTATATATCTATACGTTGAATCTAATTGGCTTCTTGTTATGTTTACTTCTTTTTTGCACATAGTACCTATTATAAATGTGTCAAATGCAAGAATTAATTCATCCATATTTCAAGTATACAATATACAATATAAAAAAGAACTCATTTTTAATACCTTGTGGATGGAGATTACCAGGAGTAGTACCATACTGCAAGAAGAAAAAATTAATTTTATAAGTAAGAAATTGCAACTTCAAACAAAAACAAAAAAAATAAATAAATAAAAATTTGGGAATTCAGATTTCTCTTGATCTCTCATCCTCATAACATGACTCACCATTGGAGAAGTGCTAGGAGGTTGAGGCTGAGGTGCTGGAGACTGTTATTTTTGCCTGATAATCATACAAATGCGAAATGTCAATTAAAAAAAATGAAAGAAAATTTGTAAAATAAACAATTGAATGTAAAACTTTGAGATGGGGGAAGTGATGTTATCAACAGAGACGAATTCAGGATGGATTCTGTGTTAGTTCAACTGAACTCATTTTTTCGACTCGAATTATGTATGCATATATAAAAAAAAGTTAAAATGTATACACATAATAAGATAACGTTCATTCTGAATCCCCTAATTTTCTCTCTTATTATAGGGTAGGGGAAGCTAATGGATATATGTAAAATGGTAACTTACATTAGTTCCAACAAGAAGAAACATTATTAGAAGAGGGAGTATTCCTAAGCTAAGCTTCTTCTCCATTTTGTTTTTTGTTGATAAGAATGATATAATGCAATAATGACCAAAATAGAGAAACAAAAAAAAATATGATGTTTGATGGTTTATGTTGTTGGGAATGTCAGCTGAGGAATTTATAGACTGTTGGAAACTCTTTTAAAATTTGGAGAATTCTATGGGTATTTTTTACAATGTTCTCTGCATGAAAAGACACTACAAAAATTAACAGTCTTTGATAGCAACAATTTTACCATACACCACTCTGGGATATGATTGAATGGTAAAAATTTCATCACGTTTAAGCAGAGGTCTCGAGTTCAAGCTCTGAAAGCTAAAGCCCCCTAGCAGGCTTTCTGTGGCATAAATTCTAATTAAAATTGACCCAACATACGGAGGTAGAGTGTGTTGGATTTTATTAATTAAAACAAAAGAGACGTGAATAGAAAATGGTGGGAAATGAAATTTTAAATTAATCCCTTTTACAAAAGAACTTTGTCCCTCATTGGATAGGAAGATGAAAATTCTTGTGATTATATATAGAAGCACTTCTTCTAGCTTTTAAAGAGTTGAGAAAAGAGCAAGCCTCGTGTTGTCATCGTCGCTCGGCTTGATTGATATTTTTTGGACCAAATTTTTTTTTTTCCGTCATTTAATATTTCCTTTTCTAATATTTTTATGCGAGAAATATTAATTTGGAATTTTGCGCCATTATTTTCCACGCGACCAAATATTCCGTTTAACAGAAATTCAAACTTTCTGTCGAATAGATACCTCTTCAAACAAATAGGCACATTTGCACCTGTTGGGACTCAATTTTCCACCGCCGAATTTTGAAATTCTCTCCCCTCTATCTTCTACATTCTGCATTGTTTTCAAAGCAAAAACATAAGCACTTTGTGTGATTTGCTCCGCCATTTGAGTTCGCCGAAGTTCTATGATTTCAAGTGTCGCTATCACATAATAGTTATTCCGTTCTATTCTGGGAGTAATTAATTTGAAACTTAGGCAACTATAAGAGGATTAAACTTTTTAAGGACACACAAGAAACTTATGGGCTCGGAATTTCCTGTTTTTGTTTTCTTAAACTAACTGTTGTGATTCTCGGATCAATATGAAGATTATTTGGGAGGAAAAACAACTCTATTTCACAAGAATAGAATTTACACCAAGAATTTCTCTCTATAAAAAACCTCACCAAACTCTCTTTTTGTTCTCACAATCTCTTCCTGGATTGTATTTCAATCTCTCTGGATTGATGTTTCTGTGTAAAACATAAGGCTCTATTTATAGCCTTAAAGAAGGTGGTTGGTGGTTGAATTCTTCATTCAACAATGGAGGCTTCAACAATGGTGGCTTCTAGAATAGGTTGGTGGCTTCAACAATGGTGGGCTTCTAGAATTGGTAGTTGACAGCAGCTGAACTTATCATTAACGTCCTCTAATTTTCTGGTTGTGAATACGGACTAATAACAGAGTGATTTTGCAAAAAAAAAAAAAATACACTAAAATTGAGTTTGAAGTTTTCTGTAACGACCGTGCAAAAGTATGTATGCAATCAGATCATTTAGCGTAATTACAAATCTCAATGATAAATATTAAATAGTAACTTGATAAAAATGCTTAACTCATCAGTTTTCATATGTTAAAATATATTAATAGTATTACATTGTCAGTGTATATATTTAATTTAAATCCATTAAAATTAACAAACAAGAAAACAAATATAGCAAAACAAAGTGGTTTAATTTGTGGTCAATTTACATAGGGAAAACAGCCAAGCTTTCATGTGATTAAAATCCAGAATGAAAATGAAAGTAGAAGAAACTTCACATGTCTGCACTAGCTCTCACATGTCAACAACAACAACAACAACAACAACAACAACAACAACAACAAAATCCCATTTATTGGTGTCTGGAGAGGGTAATGTGTACGCAGACCTTACCCTTACCCTAGGGTAGAGAGACTGTTTTCAAATAACCCCCGGCATCCTTCTCTCCAAGAACATCCCACCTTGCTCTTGGGGAGACTCGAACTCACAACCTCTCGGTTGGAAGTGGGGGTTGCTTACCATCAGAGCAACCCCTCTTATCCCCAATAAAATTTAGAGGTCTGCAAATATGTTGAAAGACTGCTAAAAATTATGCAATATTCTATTGAAAACAAACTCTATCTTCGGAGTCGTTTGATTGGAAACAAGTTATTTCAGAATTAATTGTTTCGGGGTTAGTTATTCCATCCTTCATAGGGATAAATAACCACTGCAATCCCAGAATAATTAATCCCGGAATTAGTTATGCACAATCTTATCCCAATCAAATATAAAATAAATTTATTTTAAATTTAATCCTGAAATTAATTATACTTTATCTCTCGTACCAAACGAGCCATCAAAGTACAAATACATATAAGAAAAAGGAGATTCATCTCTCACCACAAATATAGACTAAGATTTTGTCTTCATAGACAGGTGGCAGGAAGATTGAAAATGTGTAGAAAGAGCCTTCAGTCTATATATATTACCTATTCAAACTTCTTGTGGATGTTCAGCTCCTCTATATTTGATGTCGAATCTATCGGGTATCCACTATAGAGCCAGCTGCGCATCTCGAATATTTGGGGCATTTGCATCTATACCCATTTTTTGGGTCATGTTTTAATTTGTGTCCGCTTTGCAAAAAAAATTATAGGCGTGCCCACTTTTTCGGGTAACTTCAGCATAGGGGCTGAAGTAGCAAAGACAATCACGCAAAACTTCAACATTCTAGTAGACGGGCCTGAAGTAGCAAGTGTGCTGAAGTTTTTGTTTGTAATTGCTGAACTTAAGCATAGTAACTGAAGTTTTGTTCTCTATTTGCTGAAGTTTTTGTTTGTAATTGTTGAACTTAAGCATAGTAGCTGAAGTTATTTAGTTCATTTATAAAACTTCAGCACTAAATAAGCTGAAGTTTTTTTGTCCTGGATAAGCTTTTTCAAAAATTTCAGCAGAAGATGCTGAGTTATTTAGTTCATTTATAAAACTTCAGCACTAAATAAGCTGAAGTTTTTTTGTCCTGGATAAGCTTTTTCAAAAATTTCAGCAGAAGATGCTGAGTTATTTAGTTCATTTGTAAAAACTTCAGCACTAAAAGCTGAGGTTTTTTTGTCCTGGATTCATTAGTTTTGTCATAAAACTTTTTCAAAAACTTCAACAGAATATGCTTAAGTTATTTAGTTCATTTGTAAAAACTGAAATTTTGCACGTACTTCAACTATTTTACTGAGTAACTGTTATCTCCTACCAGCACGGGTATTTGGATAGTATCAATTAACTCTATCCAACAAGACTTATGCTATAGGAGAAGAGGCCTAGCGTTTTTTGTCTATACTGAAATTGAATCATGATTTTCAAAGTTTACACTCACTTATCGACAACTAGATCACACCCTTGAGTTCAAACTTCCAGTGAACCATATAAAATACATTTACCATTACGTAGGATAACATTTCTGGTTGTTTGCTATCTTCTGTTTGTAACTTTTTCCTTGGAAGTTGGTGAATTTAGGAGTGTGGACCATAAAGATTTTGGGGTTTAGCAGATTCTGGTATTTTGGTTCCCTAAAGTAGTCTCGTGACTAATCATGTTAACAACATTTTTACCCATTTAGCTTGCTGTCAATCAATAGTGCCTAAATCATGGTATATATCGTAATAGGACTAAGATTGAATGATTTCATCTTCTAGCATAATATTTTAATATGAGAAGTTCTATATTATGTGACGGGAACCTTGGTGTAACTAATAAAGTTGACGCCAAGTGATCAGGAGGCAGAAATGCAGGGTAAGGCTGCGTACGATAGACCTTATGGTTCAGCCTTTACCCGGACCCCGAGCACAGCGAGAGCTTAGTGCACCATGTAGTAAGGTGTAACAAACTTATCCAAATACCCCCGTGCATAAACCAAACTACATTACCTAACTAGCCGTGTCTCAATATTAAGACATAGAGGTTCCAAATTCAGTGAGAAATTTTCTTTTATTTCCCAATGAACATGGACCAATAGCAGGAAACTGGAGAATAAACTTTCGACCATGTAGTAAGAATGCAAAGTTCAGAAAAATGATGAGAAACTGCAGTTAGTCTCGGTTCTAAGGCTGAAGGAGACAAGAGTATAGAGAGAATGAATCAAGTTTGAAGCGGAAATGAACAACTGCAACAGAGGCACCTAATACAATAGAAATTTGCGTTGGCAGAACAGAATCAAATACTCAATTCAAATGGCTCGCATAGTAATAAATTTTTTTTGCAGTACTGAAAATATAAAACGTCAGTTTACATAGATTCTTCTTGATCGGAGCAGCTGGATAAAACTGAATTAAGGTTGCTGTGCTGCCGGTACTGCTGGTTGAGGCTTCTGCTGATAAGCTGCTTGCTCACCAGCAGGAGGTGGTGGAGGTCTGGCAGCTTGATAAGGCGGGGGATACTGCTGATAATGTTGAGGCGGTGGTGGAGGCATATAGCCATAGGGTGGATAGTAAGGCGGGTAAAATTGACCTTGAGGTGGGGGTGCCGGTGGATACGCATAATGCTGCTGTCCTTGTGGTTGTTTCTCAGAACCACTCTTGTTTTCAGGACCTGACCCCGTAGCTGAACTAGAAGCCCCCTCCTGAGATGGAACTACGGCACCCATCCTTTGAGGATCCATTGACGGATAATATGCTCTTTCTTGCTGAGGCATTGGCGGAATGTTGAAGTATGGCATTGGTGGGGGTTGTTCCTGTGTGCCTGGGGGTGGAGGAAGCTGATTCTGCTGTTGTGATATGACAGCTCTGGGCAACAATCCACTGTGTGACACTGCAGCCTGCTGTCTTGCTTCATCAGACAGCTCGGTCTCTGGTTTAGGAGCCTGTGGTCTCCCCCAGAGAAGCTTCAGCCTCAAGCCTTTTATCACTAGCCTGTTCGCTAGTTCCTCAGCCGCCTTCTCTGCACCTTCTCTTGTCGTGTAGGTTACAAAAGCACAACCACGCTGCACCACCATTTTAATGGACTCGATTTCTCCATGTGCATAAAAGTGGTCCCTTAGATCCTGTTCGCTGATTCTTGCATCAACACCACCCACATAGAGGGTTCTAATGCTCTCATCATCTGGGGGCTCCAATGAAGGCATTTCACCTGCCTTATTAAGTAGCTTCATAGCCACGGGATCATTAACTCTGCAAGCATTGCAGGTAACATAATGGCAACAATTCTTGAGCCACAACATGAGCCAAAAACATGAATAAGATAGTAATATAGCTCTTTTAAGTTAATGAAGATCATTAGGACAATAAATCTTCAGGAAAGAGAACATTCAACAAGATGTCACTAATCTAGTCACGATGAGAACCTAAAGAGACAAGAACAGGTGGACATTTCAAAGACGTAAAATGGTATGGCACTAGCTGCTTAGAGTATGAGAAGAAATGGATCCTTCCAATCTTGCCTAACTTAATCTAGAAGGCGAACTAGGGTTTTAGGGCGACCTTGCTAGTCACACCTTCTCTGATATACTTGACATGAATGCTACATAGACTCGTTAAGGGTGCCAGGTATGGAAGTTTATTAAGGTGTCTGATTTTCCGAAGGTTTCTTATTTAGGAATTAAGGAAACCAAAAGATCATTTGCACTGACTTTGATAAATAAATGAAAAAAAGATCATTAACACTAATGCGAGGTTATGACTAATAGGCGAGCAAATTAAGGTTAAATGTCTGTGATTTTTCACAATGAAATCTTCTCAACTGAGAATGTGAATGGTCTTTTACCTGGACAGAGATATTTGTTGTGGTAACATTAAAAATTAGGAAAAAATTTGGCTTAGTCTCGAGACTATATTGAGGCGCAGGTACAAGTTCAGCTATGCATCATCAACGTCATAGAAACATAGTCCTTAACC